TGTGTGTGCGTGCGTGCGTGTCTGTGTGCGTGCGTGCATGTGCGCGCGTGCGTGTGCGTGCGTGCGTGTGTGTGTGTGTGTGTGTGTGCGTGCGTGCGTGCGTGTTCGTGTGTGTGCGGGTGTGTGTGTGCGCGTGATGGCGTGCGCTCGTGCGCGCGTACGTGCGATCGTGCCTTCTGCGCGCGCACGTGCGTGCGTGCGTGCGCGCGTGCGTGCGCGCGTGTGTGCGTATGTGCGTGTGTGTGTGTGTATGTGCGTGAGTGTGCGTGCGTGCGTGCGTGCGTGCGCGCGTGCGTGCGCGCGCGTGAGTGTGTTGCGTGTATGTGTGTGCGTGTGTGTGTGCGCGTGTGTATGTGTGCGTGTGTGTGTGTGTGTGTGCGTGTGCGTGTGCGTGTGGGCGTGCGTGTGTGCGTGTGCGTGTGCGCGTGCGTGCGTGTGCGCGCGTGCATGCATGTGCGTGCGTGTGAGTGTGTGTGTGTGTCTGTGTGTGTCTGTGTGTCTGTGTGTCTGTGTGCGTGTGCGCGTGCGTGCATGTGTGGGTATGTGTGATTGCGTGTGTGCGTGTGTGTGTGCGTGCGTTTGTGTGCGCGGGGATCAACAATGAATATTCCATAACGAGAGTCCAACCCCAACCACGACCACAACCACAACCACCACCGCCACCACAACCAGCACCACAGCACAACACAACAAAAACCACAACAACAACAACAACAACAACATCATCAGCAGCATCTGCATCATCATCATCACCAGCAGCGTCATCATCATCATTATCATCATCAGCGTCGTCATCATCATTATCATCCGTCGCATCATCAGCTCCACTATCATCACCACCATCATCAGCATTAGCATCGTCATCATCGTCGTCATCGTCATCATCAACATCATCAGCATTCCAATCATCAACAACATCAGCATCGTCATCATCAGCGGCAGCAGCATCATCATCGTCATCATCATCAGCATCATAATCCTCCTCCTGAGCAGCAGCAGCATCAACATAGACCTCCTCATCATGTTACAATCATCATAAGCAGCATCACCGTCATCATCTTCATCAGCATCATCATCAGCATCATCGTCGTTATCGTTATCGTCATCGTCATCGTCATCAGCGGACGATTTCTTATTCCTCCAGCCACCCACCCTCCGCCTCCCCTTCCTCCCTCTCCTTCTCCTCCTCCTCCTCCTCCTCGTCATCGTCCTCCCTCCTCCTCCTCCACCTCCTCCTCCTCGTCTTCCTCCTGGTACTCGTCCTCCCCCTGCTCCTCACCATCATCATCAACAACAACATCGTCATCATCATCATCATCATCATTCCCATCATCAGCAGCAGCATCATCGTCATCATCATTCAAACAACGTCATCGTCATCATCACCAGCCCCTTGATAATCATCATCATCGTCATCATCATCCTCAGCATCAGCATCAGCATCAGGATCAGCACCAGTTGTCAGCATCATCATCAGCATTATCATAAACAGCAGCATCAGCAACATCATCCTCCCAATTCGCCGGTCCAACGGGCCAGAGGCGTGCTAAGATCTCCGGCAAGTGCTTTGCAATGATTATACTTCGCGCGCGCGGGACGGCCCTTGGGGGTCCCCGGACGAAAAAAATCCGGGGCAGGAAATGGGCGACTCGGGTCAGAGATGGTTTTCCTCCTGGGCGCCGCCCTCGAGGCCGGCCAGAGAGCCCCCAGAAAGGCCAAGAGGCCGCCAAGAGCCCCTCAAGAAGATACAAGAGATCTCCGAGATGCCACAAGATCGCTCCAAGACGCCCAAGATGGCCCCAAGACGGCCCAAGAGGCCTCCAAGAGCACTCTCAAGAGGGTCCCAAGAGGCAGAAACCATTGTTGTTTCCTAGGTTTGGGAAAGATTTTGGCGTTTTCACCTTTTTCGGCTTCCCGACACCCCAAGACGGCCCAAGAGGCCCCCAAGACCGCCCCAAGAGGACTCAAGAGGCCCCCAAGAGGGCCCCAAGACGGCCCAAGAGGCCTCCAAGACGGCCCAAGAGGCCTCCAAGACGGCCCAAGAAGGCCCCAAGAACGCGACGATGTCGGCGGACTGTTCTCCCATGAGGGCAGCCATCATGGCGCGGATCTCGTCCGCAGTCGCCATGGCGGCCTGCTGAGTCACCAAGTGAGCAAAGAAGAGGAGCGCGAGAAACGAAAGGGTCGGCTGTCGACCGTTTGACGCTGCCTCGAGCCCCGCTCGGCACCGACCAATTTCAAAGCGCCTGGGTCGCACGGCTTGGACTTGAACCGAAATGGCTAGGAAGGAGGAGGAGGAAGAGAAAGAGGAGGGGAAAGAGAAGGTGAAGCAGTGAAAGGAGGGAGGAAACGAGGACGAGAACGAGCACGAGGACGAGGGCCCGCACACATCGGCCCAGCAGCGGGCCGGCTCTCCTGCGAAAGCGGCAGCCAGGCAATCGTAGACGACCGACAGCACGGCAGCCGCGGCCGGGGCTGGCCCCGCAGCCCACACGTGGGCCACCCAGCCTGTGGAGCGGGGGCCTCCTCCTTCTCGTCGTCATCGTCCTCCTCCTCCTCGTCCCCTTCCTCCTCCGCCTCCTCGAACTACTACTACTACTACTACTACTACTACTACTACTACTACTACTACTACTACTACTACTACTACTAATACTACTACTACTACTACTACTACTACTACTACTACTACTACTACTACTACTACTACTACTACTACTACTACTACTACTACTCTACTACTACTACTACTACTACTACGACTACGACTACTACTACTACTACTACTACTACTAGTACTAATATTACTACTACTACTACTACTACTCCTTCTTCTACTACTACTACTACTACTACGACTGATAATCAGAAAGATAATGATACGACCACCACCACCAATACTACTACTACTACTACTACTACTACTACTACTACTATTACTACTACTACTACTACTACTACTACTACTACTACTACTACTACTACTACTA